CAGGAAAACCCTGGAGCTGATGCAGGGAGAAGGAGGAGAGGAGAAGGAAAGACAAAGAGGAAGGAGAAAAAAGTGGAGCCCTGACCTTGCCGCACCACTGCCGCCACCGCTGAGAAGGAGAGGTAGGAGAGCAAGGACTCATGGCTGAGCCCAGACCCGTCCTGAGCCTACTCCACGGCGGCTAGCACTCCAAGAGAGCAGGCTGGGGCCCAGAGGAAGGCCATGAAACATAGGAGACCACAGAAAAGATTACTTCTTAATATAACAACAACAACACACTTTTTTCTCTTTAAAAAAAAAAGTGTCCCCGGATTCTTTGAGAAAAATCTGGTATACCTGAACAAGACATGCCAACATCAGTAGGAGGCTTCTGAGTGCCGAACGAGGAGCTCCAGATCATGGGGGAGGCTTCAAAGAGCGTTATGCTTGCATGTTTTTTTTTGAAATAACTTCTTACTGGGTTTTCAAAATTTATTATTTTATTTATAAGATTTAGATACCGCTCTTCATCATAAGATCTCAGAGCGGTAAATAAGTGCAAGGCAAGTAAATAAGTACAACAATGCATCAAAACAATATTCACCCCCTTCACACAGACACGTTTAAAAGACTGTAGAATATTAATCAGCCAAAGAGGCCTGGTTGAATAAGAATGTTTTTGCCTAGTGCCTAAAAAAATATAGGTCTACCTCCCTGGGGAAAGCATTTCACAAATGGGGAGCCACTACAGAAAAGACCCGTTCTTGTGTTGCCGCCCTTGGGACCTCATGTGTAGGAGAGGAGGCACATGAAGAAGGGCCTTAGATGATGAACACAGAGTCTGGGACGGTTTATATGGGGGGAGACAAGTCCTTCAGCTATTGTGGCCGTGATCCATTTAAGGCTTTATTGCTCAAAACCAGCATTTTGAATTGGGCCCACAAACTAATTGGCAGCTAGTGCAGTCAGGCCAGCCTAAACAAGGATCATGGAAATTGTCAGCATCACCCTTGAGCCAGTGCCACCAACTGGACTCATCCACTTCAGCTCCGACTGGGCTAGGCGAGCTGGGTAGCACTTCCAGAGACCACCTTCTGCACAGGAACAGGTCAAAGTGCTGTGGACTCACAGCTTAGAGTTGTGAGCACCGGATTCACTCCCACAAGAAGACAGTTGTCGCACAGCAGAGTATAGCAGAGTCTAGCAGAGTATATAAACAACTCGGAGAGCAGCTCTGTAGAATATCTTCTTTATTCTATCTACAACTATAATACAAACTATATACAGAGCTTAATGAGCCTAAGCATAAATGAATGCTGAACCGCACTGAGTGTCTGCAGCTGCTCTTAGCAGCAACCTTATCTCTACACACGATCTCTAACACTCAGTCTCTCTCTCTCTCCGACACTGACTGACTGTTTGATGTGGTGCTGGAGCAGAATAAGTAGAGAGCAGAACACGCCTCCTCCTCTCTGGAGAATCAGCAGACTCCTCAGGAGATTCTTGGATATGGGAGGGGTGAAATCTCCTCAGAGATTCAATGATACAAATAAATAGCCCACGTCTTCTCGTGTCATTTGTATGCCACAAAAATAGCACAATGCAGTGGTATCTACCAAAGAGCGTTCTGTTGAACCTTACATGCCTCCTTCAAAAAGAGTAAGGGTGGAGTCGGGGATGGAGGCACTGGGAGTAGCGGTGGTTTATAAGCACTCCTTCTTCATCCCTAAATATCGCAGGCGACAAACCCTTAAGGTATCTCCTACCCTCAACTTGATAACAGAAATACACATTCAGGGAGGACAACATTAACTAGTTGCAGGCCAGAGATAGAAATTAATAAATTGTGGCTCATAGTTCAAGCAGTTTACTGTATTCTGTCTTCATTCTAGGGATGTGGTGACAAAAATCAGAAATGGGCTATGTATTAATAAGGTTAATTTAGAAGACTGGACTGACTTGGCTTACTGACACTAAGCGCTCTAGTAAAAATTGCCGATGAAGTAGATTTGAAAATGAAGAGATCTCCATTTGAAGTCAAAAAGGATGGGGGGGGGGGGAGAAACTGGAATGGATGTTGGAAAGGGAGAAGAATAAGGATTTCTTATTGGCTTCCTTGTGACATTCCTTTCCCGGTTTTTCACAAGATCCAGCCATGGAATCTTTGAGTGAACATTTTCTTCCCACAAAACTTTATTTGTCTACCTCACAGTCCAGGGCTAGTGCTTGTCAAGTGCTTCGTGCCAAATGAAACACTGGAAGCACAATCGAAACCATATAAATGTTAAAAAGCCAACTTTATATGTATATAAAAAAACAATGTTCAATGACTGTACAGCTCTTAAGACCTGTATGAGAAAACACAGCAATTTCTGTTTTTATTTAATGGTTCTTTGCCAAGGCATCGTTAAAAGCCAAAGTGTCCTCTTAGCAGAATATACAAACAATTTTCATTTATCTTTGTTTAAAACTAGGGGGGTGGGAAATACCTCTTCTGGGTGGTGGTGGGTTCCAGTTTATTTTAAAGAGATATCTATTGAACTAGCCTTCATTAATTCACTGTTCTTGGGTAGAAACCAGAGTCAGTTGACACAGCCATGTTCATCACTGGATAATGGCAGAGTGGGCCATCCAAGATTACCAGCCGGAGAGATTTTCATATCACTCCCCTTCGTTTGTGATAGATTTTCAATGGTAATCTTGAATTCAGCTAAGAATTCTCTAAGAATTCAGCTGCAAGCAATCATTCGTTGATTAACCAAGTGGTGAGAAATCAAGTGATACACATGAACCAAAGAACTTGCCATTACGTACTTGCAGACATATCTGAGTTCCAATAGAAGCCATTTCACCACTTGGTATTCTAAACTCATTGTGCCTTTTCCATGTAGTCTTATAGTGATGTAAACAGAATTCAACCAAACTTCTGATTTATCTTGAGATTTTGCATGTAGGATTATCAGCTCTTGATCAGAAGCTTTTGGTGGCCTTTATGGAGAGAGATTTGCTATGTTCATCAGGACCAGCCTAGTGGGCTCCACTGCTGATGCTTCCCTGGGGTTCCTCATAAATTATTTTTGGGCCGCCGCTCTGAGCATCAAGGAAGCTCCTTCTAGCCATCTATTAACTTTCCACAATGCTCCCAACTAGTTTTGCACTGAGGCAGCAACTAGCACTGTTCAAGTTAGGTTGTTATCAGCGTTTGCATTGCACGTGTGTGTGACCTTTTGTGCTGTGCTCTTGGTCACTCTTGTTAGAAGCCTCCCCCCACCCCCAGTATGGGGAAGTTGGGGCTAGAGCTTGTGGATTTCATGACCCCACCTTTTGCTTTATAATTTGAGCACTAGATGCTATCACTGTCGCACACTCTCACATCTTGAGTCCCAAACCGGGGTGTGCATCTTCCCACCTGTGCTCCCTCGCAAGTCACGTGACGTGTGTGAGATCACAGAGCCTCAAAGACACACTTTTGGAGCACTGTGCAAGATCGCAGCCCCCCCCAAGTGTTTCCCTCCCCAAGGGGAAAAGCACCTGTGGGGGGGGGATTGAGATCTCAGTGCAGGAATCGCAACTAAAGAATCCATCGCCTTCCATGGAAATCCGTTCCACTGTCAAACAGCTCTTACTGCCAGAAAGTTCCTCCTAACGTCTAGCACAGCTGGACAACTTTGGCAATTGTGACAACTTATCTTCTTAAAAACAAACACCCCCCATATTTCTTTTTTTCTTTTTTCCTGAAAGCTATTTCCTGTTTTGGGATGGGCGGAGGGGGAGAATAAATCCAAAAATGGTGCCTGCAATCCATGTCTGAATCTTTTTCGCGTTTGAGGAAACACAAGGTGGATCTACACTCGTGGTTTTCAACGTTAAGAAAGCGTTAAGGAATAGTTTCATAACATAGATGATGGACACATGACATCTTGCTTTTAACATTAATAATGTGTTATTAACATGTAACACCAGAGGGTGCTTCAGAGCAACCAGCTGCCAGCATTGGGGAGATAGCAGTTTTGACAGAAAAGAAACAGAGGTAAGAAATGCTTTATTTTACAAGTATGCTCCTTGATGTTTTAGAACGATGTATCTAATACCATTCTAATAACATTAAACAGATCAGGGTAGATCCAGCCACACTCTTGAAGAGCAATGAATGATAGAGGAAGTGCCCTAGTGGTAGGGTAACCTCTTCTCCCCACAACTGCTGGCTTGAGACTTGCTGGAGGAAGGGCTGCTGTTAGCCTGGTGAAGTTGCCCCGGAAACTAACACATTTACTAGATTATTATGGCCTGGAGGGTGAAAGAGGGGAGCGCAAAATATGGTTTGAAGCTCAACATCAAAAAAATGAAGATCATGACCACTGGTCCCATCACCTCCTGGCAAATAGAAGAGGAAGAAATGGAGGCAATGAGAGATTTTACTTTCTTGGGCTCCATGATCACTGCAGATGGTGACAGCAGCCACGAAATTAAAAGACGCCTGCTTCTTGGGAGAAAAGCAATGACAAACCTAGACAGCATCTTAAAAAGCAGAGACATCACCTTGCCAACAAAGGTCCGTATAGTTAAAGCTATGGTTTTCCCAGTAGTGATGTATGGAAGTGAAAGCTGGACCATAAAGAAGGTTGATCGCCGAAGAATTGATGCTTTTGAATTATGGTGCTGGAGAAGACTCTTGAGAGTCCCATGGACTGCAAGAAGATCAAACCTATCCATTCTGAAGGAAATCAGCCCTGAGTGCTCACTGGAAGGACAGATCCTGAAGCTGAGGCTCCAATACTTTGGCCACCTCATGAGAAGAGAAGACTCCTGGAAAAGACCCTGATGTTGGGAAAGATGGAGGGCACAAGGAGAAGGGGACGACAGAGGACGAGATGGCTGGACAGTGTTCTCGAAGCTACCAGCATGAGTTTGACCAAACTGCGGGAGGCAGTGGAAGACAGGAGTGCCTGGCATGCTCTGGTCCATGGGGGTCACAGAGAGTCGGACACAACTAAACGACTAAACAACAACAACAAGTGGAGCATCCCCATAATGTTCTTGGGAAGAGAAAACGGAGCCCAGACTTTAGGAACTGAACTAGAAAGGAGTTTTATTAATGCAATATGAAACCTGCTGTCAAGGCTGCCTCAAGTCTTAGCTCACAAAAGACCAACGCCTATGTCTTCTTATATACAAAGGTGTTTATTGCAGTTCATGGTTTGCTTGACATCCTAGGCGCGCAGCCTTACGTCGCTTACGCTAGACCGCTGAAGTCCCCTCTGAGTCAGTCCCTCCCCTGCACCAATTTAAGAGACTTGCGCTGCTCCACCTCTTTCTCTCCTTCCTTTTCCGCAGGGTCCTTCTGCCCCCTGGGGTTGCGCTCCTTCTGGATTCCTCTGACGCGGAATCAGACTGCTCTTCCCCTCCTGCGGGCTTTGGGACCTGGCCCCTCCTCCGGACTCCCTGCACTTCCGCGCGCCTCTACATTTGAACCAGGCGCGCGCGCCAAACCTCTAACTTTCCTTTTGACAGTTACACTACTCCCTTCACTGCTCCTCCCCTTCCGGGAGGGCGGCTTGCTCTGACCCCCTCCTTTCTCTGCTGCTGGAGCTGCTTCCTCTGACACACTGGAAACTCCACCCCTTCACTGCACTTTGGTGGGGAGGCTGGTCCTGACGCCCAGCTGCCACTTTGGGATCCTCCGCTGGCACCCTGCTCCTGACACTTCCCCCTGGGGCTCCCTGGCCGTGACCACCGGCGCCCCTCTGGGAATCCTCTGATTCGCTGGAAAGACTCATGGAATCCCTTGAGTCATTGTCATCCTCTTCCTCGCTGGCTTGGAATTCCTCCCCCTCGCTCTCCATCTCCTGCCTACCCTGTGCCTCTCTCTCTGAACCCCTGACACCTGCCTCCATTGGTCTTTGCCAGCTTGGCAAGGTGGAGGTGGAGGTATGAGGACAAAACAGAAATATTCTGACAACACCCGCTTCTCCCACTAAGTCACTTTCTTGTTCAGCATCTCACTGCAGATAATGCAAATACACTGTCTGAGAAGCAAGGGTTGGTTGAGCCACGCCACAAGCGAGCACCTGTTGTGTGCAAGTCACAATCCACTACATTTACATTTACCTCATCGGCCTTACCTGCCTTGGATCAGCAGTAGAACATTGTATGTGAACTGGACACACGCCTAGATTCACATGCATAAAGAACAGTCAGAGAAAACACATAGCTCAAAGGTGACATGCGCTTTCCATAGGAGAGGAATCAGGATTAAGCCCTGGAATCTCAAAGAATCTCGGGTAATTGGGTTTAGACATTGGGGAGCTGCAGCAGTCAATATATAAAATTTCAGATCCTGATACAATCCCATTTTGATACTAACTTGGTTCCTTGATCTGTTATTTTAGTTTAGCAGAGCACTGAATGCTGATAATGCTGTTCTAAAGCGGCCTCTAGTGTTGTCCTTAGAAATTACGTCTTCCATTTAGCTCTACACAACTGGCTGTGCCCATGGCTTTCAGATTCCCACAGAGCTAACTGATAGATCACTGTACGAGATATGGAAGATGCCCAGCACTTAAGGCGAACCCAACAGAAAACGACCAGTTTTCTTCTTGAAAAGCATCAAGCAAGAAGGTGCCATCTTTTCACTGGGAAAGTCATTTTGTTGCTGAACAGCTCTGTGCACAGAGCCGAATTGAACAATTACAGTGGTACCTCAGGTTAAGAACTTAATTCGTTCTGGAGGTCTGTTCTTAACCTGAAACTGTTCTTAACCTGAAGCACCACTTTAGCTAATGGGGCCTCCTGCTGTCGCTGCGCCGCCAGAGCACGATTCCTGTTCTCATCCTGAAGCAAAGTTCTTAACCTGAGGTAATATTTCTGGGTTAGCGGAGTCTGTAACCTGAAGCATATGTAACCCGAGGTACCACTGTACTTCCCTCTTCTTAAAAGGCAGAGGAACTGCTAGTATTTATTTCATTTAAATATCTATAGGCTGCACTTTCATATAAAATATTGCAGGGTGGCATACAACCTAAAGACACAATAGTACGGCAAAAGCAAAATTAAAAATTCAGTGACCGTTGGCTGGCAACGAGTCTCAGGTCTGGAAGGCCTGTCTGAATAATAGCTTTTAAAAGGCTCCTGAAAGAAAGTAGAGATGGCTTGCGCCAAACTTCTATTGGTAAGGAGTTCCGCAGGGCACGACCTGCCACAGTAAAGGCCTGGTAAACGCTAACCTCAGAGACACCAAAAGTGCCCCATCAGAAGACCTCAGTGATGGAAGCAGATCATAAGGAATAAGGTGGTCCTTAAGTCTACAGGTCTAAAAGAAACTCTGTGCATTTTGCCTTTGTTTGTATTACTGATGTTCTGGAATCAAAATCCTTTGCCATCTCTGTAGCTCTCCTCTATATCCTCTCTGATTTCTCAACTTTCTTCTGTGGGCCAAACAGGAACTCAATATGCAGTCACGACCCTGATAGAAATGTGGGTTGCAATTCACGCCCAGTGCCTAAATGAAATTTATTGATTCGAGTCCAGAACGTGCTTGTAAAATACCTCCCCACTATGATCCCACATCTTTGCAAAACTGTCACGAGATGCCTCGTCTGTTTTGCAAAACGGGAGGACTGAGTGATTTCTTTTGAGCGTGGACTCCTTCCCTTTGTTTAAGCCCCGTATGTTTTTTGACACCTGATGTGTATTTATAGCCAGACAAGGCATTATGGCATGAGCATACATTAATTCAATGCAAGTGACAAATGCCCTTCAGATACTGTTCCCGTGCTCTAAAGTCAGCCATGCGTTCTGGAGACCAGAGGCCTCATGCATTTCACTCACACATGTTCTGGGACTTGCAAATCTTATAAAGGGCACCGCCTTCCACTGTCCCTGGTGGGGTCACACTGTGTCAGCTCCTAGATATGCAGCAGGAACTCGGGAACTCAGAGATTCGTAGTTGCTGAGAAAACCATGCTGTGGGTTAAACCACAGAGCCTACGGCTTGAAGATCAGAAGGTCGGCGGTTCGAATCCCCACGACGGGGTGAGCTCCCGTTGCTCGGTCCCTGCTCCTGCCCACCTAGCATTTCAAAAGCACATCAAAGTGCAAGTAGATAAATAGGTACCCTAAGCTTTACCTTTACCTTATTTTTGAGGGGTGTTTTTGAGTGTCTTTTCTTTCAGCAGCCTGGACTACTTTGTCTTCCAAGATGCCTTCATGTTGATCAAGATGCAAATCCTCCAATGGGATTTTTTTCCTCCACATCAGGAAGCATGGGCAAGCAAGGAGGCTGCAGAACACTAGATAAATATTTGTTGGAAATACAAATATATACGCCACACTTGCCTCAGCCCAGTATACCTGAAGGAGCATCTCCACCCCTATCGTTCAGCCCGGACACTGAGGTCCAGCTCCAAGGGCCTTATGACGGTTCCCTCACTGCAAGAAGTGAGGTTACAGGGAACCAGGCAGTGGGTCTTTTCGGTGGTGGCCCCCACCCTATGAAACGCCCTCCCATCAGATGTCAAGGAGATAAACAACTATCTGACTTTTAGAAGACATCTGAAGTTTTTATGTTTGATCTTTTATTGTGTTTTTAATATTCTGTTGGGAGCTGCCCAGAGTGGCTAGGGAAACCCAGCCAGATGGGCGGAGTATAAATGATTATTATTATGTAATAATATGTAATAATAATATTTTTCTGCAATGGTAAGTTCAAACCCCTACACCACAGAAATTCTAAAGTGCCTTGCGAAAGGAGCTCACAGAGGAAAACTTGTTGAGAAACCAGAGGATAGATTTTGGCATGGCAGGAGCATAAATGCATGAACAATAATTCTCTTCCTTCCCTCCTGAGCACAATTCCCTTCCCCAGATGTAATTTCCCTCTCCCTCTTGAGCTTGGCTCAGGCTAGGCTCACCAGGACAGTGAAATAAATCCCCCCCCCTTGCAATGTTTGACGCCTGTTCCTGTTCACCGCTGTCATTTAGCATGTAGAGGACCTAATGGACTGTGCTTATAATGAACTAGTTTGCTTTAACAAAGTTTACTGAATCGGTTTAGAAATCTCTGAACTACACCTGAAAGTAGTTTGGAAAATTGCCAAGTGAAGTGAACATGAATTAAATTGAGAGATGGGGCGTGGCACTGAATACTGAACGATTTCTGGTTCATCTTCAAATTCATTCTCTTGCATGTCTTGAGTCTCTTTTGGCCTTTAAGCTTAACAACCACAATTGTTGGGGGGATAAGTTAAACAACTCTCATTCCACTGTGTGTGTGTTTTGATGCTTTCTTTGTCCTAAGTATATTTTATCTTTCAACCACAACAATTCTGAACGATGAAAAGAAAACACTGAGGATCATTCCGATGAACTTAGCTTGAACTGTGAAGTGAACGTGAACCAAACTGCTATAGACCTCTTCTGCAGGCAAATGTCATCACACAGCCTGATGCATGTTGTTGTTGTTGTTTAGTCGTTTAGTCGTGTCCGACTCTTTGTGACCCCATGGACCAGAGCACGCCAGGCACTCCTGTCTTCCACTGCCTCCCGCAGTTTAGCCAAACTCATCCTGGTAGCTTCAAGAACACTGTCCAACCATCTCGTCCTCTGTCGTCCCCTTCTCCTTGTGTCCTCCATCTTTCCCAACATCAGGGTCTTTTCCAGGGAGTCTTCTCTTCTCATGATGTGGCCAAAGTATTGGAGCCTCAGCTTCAGGATCTGTCCTTCCAGTGAGCATTCAGGGCTGATGTCCTTAAGAATGAACAGGTTTGATCTTCTTGCAGTCCATGGGACTCTCAAGAGTCTCCTCCAGCACCACTAATTCAAAAGCATCAATCTGATGCATGTAAGTTACTATATATAGGCCCATACACATCAATTGGTCCCTCACCTTTCTCAGCTGCCTCAAATGGGAATGAATGTGTGATTCCCTGTCCTCACCTTTTCCAATCCTTGAAATTATGTTCCTACCATCTAACTGCATTTCCCCCATTGTCAGAAGCATTGATATATACCTCTTGGTTTTTTGGTGCTTTTGTTTTGTTTAAATAGCACCAACAGCACTAGCAAGAGGATATTTCCCTTGCAAATTAATTTCAATGCACATTCATTTGTGTTTCTGAGCAGAATAGTGACCAGATGTCTCTGAATGCCTGGAGCCACCGGGAGCCATTTCCCTGACCCAGAATAAATCCAGGCCAGGTTTCCAATATGTTCTGGTTTGTGATGGGTGGGTGATTTGCAAAGCTGTTTTAGTCTCTTTCCTTGCTGCTTCAATAAGCAAGGGAATATATATCTTTTGTACTAATCCTGGTCTGGTGACCAGAAATACAAGGTCGTATTGCAAATTGTTGTAATCAATTAATGACGCTTGGTAAATATAGCATTTCCTAATGTATAAGGGATTCTTTGAGATTTTCTGCTTGGGTTCGATCAACTGAAAAAAAGGATATAGTCTTCTGAAGTGCAGATCTTTCAAACGGATGACACATGCCCGGTATGACAGTAGCTTCCAGAACAGTGTAGGGGAAGGACTGACAGATTGTCACGAAATGTTCCAACTTCATTTATTCACATATATTGTTGCAAAGGTTGCACATCTCCCTCGATCTCTGCCGAATGGTGCACAAGATTCGAGGGGTTTCAAGGCAGCTCACACAGGGTCTTGTTTCTGTTGAGAATCAAGATGCGGCAGAAGCTGTAGTGGCTTTAAGAGATATAGTTTAATTACACCTGAGTTAAGACGAAAGGGGTGCAGATCTTACAGCATTTCCATCTCAAGAGCAGAATGTTCTCCACAGCAGCCCAGCATTGCAGATGGAGTCATCCTAAGCAGCGCCAGATTAACGTATAAGCTAAACAAGCTATAGCTTAGGGTCCCACTCTCTTGGGCCCCCCCAAAAAGTTTAAAGGAAAAAACAAACTGGATGTACATTTCCAAAAGATAAGATAAAAAAACAAATAACACCTACATGCAGCAACAGTGTTTTGTGTTGTGTAGGCTTCTATGATGTAAGTAATGGCCTGCTAGCCTGCTCCCTAAAATATCACTGGTTTGCTCATTTCTATATATAGGGTCCCTACATTCTGCATATTTTGTTATTTGCAAATGGCTTTAAATACCTA